TTATCTATAAAAAATTGCAGAGGTCGTGGATAATATCTTTTTCCAGAAAGCATTTGCCTTGTCTGACTACCTTCGACCATCAGAGGCAGAGCTGAGCGGAGTCTGGGTTGTGGTTTTGCTGAAGCTCTGTCTGGTTCACATCTGCCCCTGGGCCAAGCCCTCTAGGTTTCTACCTGAGAGCCTGGGGTCTCACCAGTGATCCTTCGCTGGGTGGGTCCTGAATGAGAATCCCTGTCTCCTGAGTGCAACAGCTGTGAATCACACAGCTGCAACTCTTTCCTCATAGTCGAGGGCTCTCTCTTTACATCTGCTTATTACATTCCTGCTCAGCTACGTATATTTAAGTGTTTTAGAATATTTTGTCTTGGCTGGGCGTGGTGGCTCATGTCTGTAATCCCAGCACTTTGGGAGGCCAAGTTGGGAGGATTACTTGAACCCAGGAGTTTGAGAGCAGCCTGGGCAATATAGTGAGACCCTGTTTCTACAAAAATAAAAACAAAATTAGCCAGGCATGGTGGTGGGCACATATAGTCCCAGCTACTTGGGGGACTGAGGTAGGAAGATTGCTTGAGTCTGGGAGGTTGAGGTGCAGTGGCCCATGATCTGTGTCTCGGTCTGGGTGACAGAGTAAGACCCTGTCTCAAAAAAAAACAACAACAAAAAAAGAATTTTGTGTAGCAAATTTTATGTGTTAAGAGTGGGAGTTGGTTGCTTCAGTTACTGCTGGGAAAAAAAAGAGTGAGAGTTGGGATCTCAGGTCCCAACTCCTGGGACTCAGTTCAGTCCACCATCTTGGCTGGAAGTTCTCCAAAGAGAACTTCAGAGAAGTGAAGGAGTTTAAACAGGGCAATGGCATAATTTGATTGTTCATCAAAAAGATCCCTTTGTGGTGCTGAGGACAGATTAGGGTTGCTATAGAGGTGATCATGGCCTTGCCTTCAGAGGAGGGCATGAAGTTGAGAGGTGTTCAGAAGATAGAACCAGCAATGGCCAAGGGTCATGACAGCAGTTGGGGTAGAGAGGAAGATTTTGAGCTTGGTACTCGAGTCCTCCCAGGAAGCTGTGGATACCAGTGAAAAGCTGGCCAGAGTGGGAGGCAGGAGTTGCACGAGAGCCTTGGGTTTGGAAATTGCAGTGACAGGGCCGGAGATGTGGATGACAGAGTGAAGTGGGTCCAGAGGGCGGAGGGCCCGCAGAGAGAAGAGGCACTCTCCACCAGTGAAGAGCTGGGAGTTGAGAAGTTGGGGGTGGTATTTGCATTTTGGGCATTCTGAAAAGTCTCCAGGGTGTCCTACAAACCTCAGACAAAGCAGACATTTGGGAGACATTTGTAGAGTGTCTTGGTGCCAGCATGAGCCAAGCCATACTGCTTCCTGGTAAGCAGCATCTGGGCCCTAGCGGAGGAGGGGCCACCTTGAGAGCCTACAGGGCTGGGACCAAGTCCCCCAGGAGTCCCTCCCCTCCCCGCTCCCACTGCCCCTAAGTCCGGGTCTCCCTGCCTGCACCATCACCATAGTCCTCACTGATCTTCCTGCATCTACTTAAACCATCTCAAGGATGATCACTGCCTACAAAATACAGCTCAGACTTTTGAGCTTTTTACTTAGAGCCTTGACTGGCCTCCTCAGCCCCTGCGACTCTCCCATGTGCCTCCCCTTCTTCTACCTGCTTCCCCAAATGTGCCTCCTGCATTCCCTGGGCTTTAATGTTGCTCTCTGCACTCCTCAGATGCTGACGCTGCGCCAAGGTGCAGCAGAGAACGGCGTCCTCTGGGCCTGGTGAGGGCAGTGAGCATTCGTGCTGTAAAAAGGTCATTCTTCCTTTCACGTTCGACGCCTGTGGTGTGCCAGGCCCTGGACTAGGTGCTAGGCTGGATGTTAAAACTCTCAGAGCACAGTCCCTGTTCTGAAGGTGCTTCCAACCCAGAGGGGCCGAACAGTGGCCCCGGTTAGCCAGAGGCAATGGAATGAGGTTCCCGTGCCATGCCGTTTTCACCTGAGCTGCGGTCCAGAGCTGGCTCCAACTGTCTGTCAGGGTTTCAGCTGGCACCGTTGACTGACGGCGTTGCTTTGCAGGGTGGGGAATGGGGTGGAGACTTGAACATTTTGTTCCATAGATGTCTGTGTTGTTTAATCTTGAAATCAAGTGTGGGTTTAATATTTGCTTATGTACATAACTGTTTTTTGATTGAAAAATAAATTCTTTTATTTAGGTCTCTTTTGGGCCTTCATATAGTCAGTGACCTGTGTCAGTGCTCCTTGTGAACCCCCCGGGACAGGCCCGTGCTTGAACAAGCCCGTGGCTGCTCATCGTGGGGGAGCGTCCACACCCTGAGGCGTCGTGTTAAGAGGGTGCTGGAAAGGGCTTCTTACAGGATTCGGCTTGAGTAATCTGGGGGAGGGTTTAGGGAAGCGGGACTTTGCTCTGGATTGGTGCTGTCAAGAAGCAGGCATCATTCTGCAATTGGGAGTCTCAATGCATCGTATTTGGAAGGACAGACTAGAACCAGGCCAGAGCTGTCAGCCGTGAAGAGGCAGCAGTCACTCAGACTGTCCGGGACAGGGCACTGCTTGCCCTTTTTACAGCTTGGACAGTGCCCATGTTTTGTCTGTGTTCAGATGTGATTACAGAGGGGTCTTGCTTTTGTATTGATTCATCATGGTGACAGAGTAGTCTGCTGTTGATGTTCTATGAAATTTTAACCAGGAGACACTGAGGGCTCTATCTGTGAGTGCCAGGCCGCTCCTAGCAACACCGAGGCCTCTATCTGTGAACGCCAGGCCGCTCCTAGCAACACTGAGGCCTAGAAGATAGGACCAGATCAGCTCCCAGGTGTCAGCAACTGGTCTTTTCTACCTGAAGAATCAGTGTGGTGGCCTCACAGTTGCTACAGGTGCATTCAGCCTCATGACTCCACGTGAGCACCCCGTGCCGATTCATCTGCCCAGCCACATCACCAGGTACTTGGACTCCTCATTTCACTCATGGCTGGGACACAGCAGATAGCAGACCTCTCAGTTGCCAGACACATCCCAGTGGCCTTCGGCTGCGCCCAGCCTGGCTTAATTGGTGCCTCCCGATGCTTCTGGAGGCATCTGTGCTCCCAGCTCCTCTCTGGCACGTCTCAGCGGCTTGTGGCCCACTTCACCTGTTCACAGCCCCCATGGCTTCCCCTGTACAGTCTCTTGCCAGACTCATCTTCCTATACACAAACCCAGCTGTGGCCCCTGTGTGAGTGCCCTACACCTGCAGGACAGGCCCAAGTCCTCCTGTGTTCAGCCCTGGCCTTCTCTCTGGTGGTGGGGGTCTTTGCTATAGATCCTCTGGCCCCCTGGCCCTGCCCCATTCCCCAGGGACCCTCACTAAAGCCTCTCCCTCTCAGCCTGGAGTTTGTGTCTGTCTCGAACTCCTCAAGAAAACACTGTCCTGGCACATTTCACTTGGCAGTTATTCCTGAGACCACCCCCTGCCCCTGCACTGACGTTCTTGTTAGCCACATAAACACTTTATTCTACTCTTTCGTATAAAATCTTGAGGGGTCTGGGATATAGAGCTAGGCGGGTTCTTTCTCCTCCTCAGCATGCTGGAGCACAGGCGGGCACCTAGAGGAGGAACTGTACCTGCTCAGGAAATGGCTGGAAGGGGAAGTGGGGGAAGGGGGAGCCGTGTGGCCCACTTGCTGTTCAGCATGTGATTAGCCGCTGCAGAGGCCAATGTGGACTCCAGGAAGCGCTCTCGTGGCTGGGAAGGCAGTGTGTGTCCCCACGCTGTAGGGGCTGCAGCAGGGAGCACACCCATGACTCAGGTTGTGCAGGGTCAGGGCTCCGGGCTGAGAGGCAAGGGGACAGCAGGAGGGCAGCTGGAGCCACCAGTGGACAGATGGCAGGGGCCATGTACCAGGCTAAGGAGCGTGGACTTCATCCTGAGGGCACCACTGAGGGTTTTAGGCAGGCGGGTAGTGCAATGGACGTGATAGATGTTTCAGAAACACACCGCTAGGGTCCTGGTGGAGAGTGGGGCAGGCAAGGCGGCCAGGTGAGGCAGGGGAAGTTGGGAGGGTGAGGGAAGCGGGGCAGCCCTACTCTGGCTTGGAGATAATGCAGGAGGAGGTTTCAGGAAGGATGAACTAGGCCCTGGGCAGCCCACAGCTGTGGTGGCCGCGGATAGCAGGGTGGCGCTGGCTTCGTACATGGAGGTGCTAAGGGGACTGACTGGGTGGTGGGGAGGGGCCTTGAGAGATCCTCAGGCCATGCTGCATGGAGAGCCTTGAGGCTGCAGTGGGAATGTCCAAGTCCAAGGTTGCCTCTTGGCCCGGAGCCGCGGGGCGTGAGAGCTCAGCAGGGCTCACACGCAGCCAGGTCCCAGGCAGTGGAGGGATCCCCTGCAGGAGTAGCAGGTGTCACAGGGCAGGAAACGCAGTACAGGCTGGGGCTGAGAGCTCCAAAAGACCAGGCCTGGGCAAGCCAACGGGCCCAAATGGCTGAGCCCTCAGTCTCTGTCCAGCTCTTGGACGGGACCTCCAGCCTGTGTTTCTCGTGGGGAGGCTGGAGAGAGGCAGGGACCTCTGTGTGAGGCAGGCCTGGGCAGAATATCAGGGTGCCCACACAGATGGACTGCACAGAGCTGGGGAGGCCCAGGGAGCACCCGAGGAGCACGGCAGGCTGCCCTGGGGCAGGCCAGTGACCTGTGCCGCTTGCCCAGGCAACAGAAGAGTGAGAGGGCTACACCGTGCCATCTCCAGGGAGCACCTGGTAGACACAGCCAGGCCACTTACCATCGGGGTACCCCAGCACAGGCTTAGCTCACTCTGAGCACCCCAGGGTCTCTGTCCATTAGTTGGGAACTCAACACACACCTTATGTAGCTGCGTGTGGGCAGAGGCTTGACACTGTGTTAACCTCCACTTTCATTTCTGGTCCTGTGTCCCCATCAGCAGGGAAGGCCTGGAGCCCCTCCCGACTTCATGTTGAAAGTGGCAGGGAGAAGAGTGACCAGGGGAAGGCAGAGAGCAAATCCCATTTATTGGAATTTCACTGACAGCAGATTGAGAGGAAGGCTTCCCCCTCCCCTGAAACATGCCGTCCTCTCTGCCCTCAGGGCTCAGCACAGGGATAAGACCCCACTCTGCATGTCCCCAGAGGGCAGCACTCCAGGGTGGGGGGGAGGGGTGCTCTACGCCAGGCTGGGGAGCTGGGACAGGAGGGAAGACGTGCACCCTCACCTCTTGGCTCAATCCCTCTCCCCGGGACCTGGTGCTGCCCCCAGTCCCTGGGGTGGGCTGGCAGACAGGGCTCATGCAACAATGAGTAGACAGGAGGTGGCACAGAAACGTGGCCTTGTTGTCCCCTGGCGGGGCGGGAGGACTAAAGGGGCCATGCTGTGGCCACAGCGGGTCCAAACAGAAGTATCTGCAGTGTACATATGGGAGGGTTGGAGAGGGGCGTCCTCTGCCCCAGGCTGTGCCTGGGGACAAGAGAGAGGGGAAGGACAGCTGGCACTGCCGTGCCAGGGGCAGGGTCCAGGCCAGCCATGCCACCTGAGCGGGCACAGAGAGCTGGAGCTGGGCTACTCCTTGGCGCGGCCAATGATGGTGAGGATGTACAGGAAGATGTTGATGATGTCTGTGTACAGGTTCAGCGCGGCAAACACGTACTCTTCCGGGCTCAGGGACAGCTGCTTGTTCCCCAACAGCAGCTGGGTGTCCACTGCCAGGAACTGGAGGTGATAGCACAGTGGTGTTGAGGGACAAGCCTGCCCGCCAGTGTCCCGCCCCTGGCCAAGGCCGCCCCTCACTCACGCAGGTGAAGAGCAGAGCGCCCAGCGAGGCGTACACAATCTCCAGGATGCGGTTCCGGATGAAGATGCAGAGGATGGCGAAGATGAAGAGCACCACCATGCTCACCAGGAGCACACCCATGCACGAGGTGAAGTCGTAGCGGGTCTGCAGGCGGGGGAGGAACGGGCCATGGGGCTGGGCCTGGGAAAGCCGCTCGGCCCCTGCGGCCACAGCCCAGCCATGGGAGGCCCCTCACCTGCATGGAGAAGATGACGACCGTGAAGCAGACGGCTGTGGTGATGCCCACGGCCATGATGACTGCCTCGGTGTTGTAGAAGCTGGCGATCATCCCCACCATGTACGACAGGCTGGCGGTCAGGACCGACTGTGGGTGGGAGACACACGCTGGCCTTGGGTGTGTGCCACCCCCGCCCGCCCCTGCCTCATGAGCACAAGGAGAACCAGGGTGACCAGGCCCGGAAGAGTGGGTGTGTGGGACTGCATGGCCAGACCCGGGCCCAGAGGCTCAGGTTTGGGGGTTACCAGTGCAACAAGGTTCCAGGGGTGCTTTCGCCGAAAGTCCCCACAACAGCTGAGGACGATGAGGGAGATGAAGAAGACAGCATAGGAGACATAGTAGGTCCAGACGTTCTCCCGGACAAAGCCCTTCACCTCCCCAACAAAAGTGAACACAGACACCGTGGACAGGGTCACCGACAGCTGCAGGGTCAGCACCAGGAACACCTGGGAAAGGAGCCGCTCAGAGTCATCCACTGGGCGCCACACCCCCCACCTCCTCCGAGATGCCCCCACCCACCTTGCGGATGAAGGCCTGTCGGATGCTCTTGTCATCCCAGTTGGTGGCAGGGAAGTCCTGGTTGTCATAGTAGGATGGGGGACCCTCCTCCTGGTAGTTTCCATGCTGGGGTGCTGAGGAGCAGACAGGCTGGGTCAGCGCCACTCACGAGCACCTCCCCCTGCCCTCCCCACCACCCCACCCCTCCCTTCCTGAGACTCACAGTCAGGGTCTTGTCCTGGGAAGGCCTGTGGCTGTCCATAGGGGTTGGGGGGAAAGGGGCTCTGGGGATATGGCCCCTGGGGGTAGCCCCCTTGGGGGTAGGGGCCCTGTGGGTAGCCCTCTTGTGGGTAGGGGCCCTGTGGGTAGGCCCCTTGGGGGTAGGGGCCCTGTGGGTAGCCCCCTTGGGGGTAGGGGCTGGGGCCATGGGGGTACCCTGGCTGACCGTAGGGTGAGGGCTGGAAAGGGGGCTGCGGGTAAGGGGCCCCAGGGTAGGGAGGCTGAGCATAGGGGGGCATGGGTGGCTGGGGCCCCCCCGGATATCCAGGGTTGGGGGGAGGATAGTTGTCCCCAGACACCAAAAAACTCTTTTCATGGGACATGGCCTCGGGTTCGGCGGTCCGCCCCTAGAGCAGGCAAACAAGAAACAGTGGAACAGTTGGCTTGCGCGACAGTGTCGGGACCCAGCCCTGCGCAACTCCACCTGCTTCTGGGAACCCAGGGGGAAGAAAGGGAAGACCGTGACCCTTGCCATGGGCTGTGCGGAGCCCCAGAGCCTGGGCCTGGAGAAGTGCGTGGGAACCTGACCGGACCGGCGCCGTGGGGCCTTCCCAGGGCTCTAGGCCGCCTTTAGGGTGGGGGAGGGGCCGGGCGAGGGGACAACCGCCAGCCTCGGGATTTGGGGCTTGGTTGTTTATCACAAGCAACCGGAGGCCTGCACCGCTGCCGGCGTCTCCCGGGTGGGAGCTCAGCGCGTGGGGGCTGGGGTCTGGTCGGGGACGTGTGGGGTGTGCCCGGACCCTCCCCTCCGCATCCCGCCCCTTAAGCAGCTTTAAGGGGCCGGAGCCGGCGGCTATTTCTATCCCAGGAAATCCCCGGGCCATCTGTGACCAACAAGGGCCCGAGCCCCCCCAACCCCCCGAACCCAACAACAGGGCCCAACGGCCCCGGGCTCCGGGTGGGGGGATCAGGCCTCGATCGGCTGCCGGTGCCTGCCAGTGGGATACGCCGGGAACAGCGGGGTGCGGGGGAGTGTGGGGGATGGAAGCGACCACGGAGCGTGCGGGGAACAAAGCGGGCGTGGGGCAAGGCGGGTAGGGGCTGCGGCCGTGGCACTGGCACCGAGGGCGGATGGGCCCTCCGCGGGCCGGGGGCGCACAGGGTCATGGGTCCAGCAGTCGCCGCAGCGCGCCGCCCCCTCCCTCCGGCTCCAGGCCGCCGCGGCTCCCCGCCCCCACCACCGCCGCCACCTCTGGCCGGGAGCAGCCGCGTACCCCGGCGGGACCAACTGACCGACCCGAGGCGGCCACGCTCGGATGCGCAGGACCCGCGTGGGGGCAGGGGCGGGGGCGGCCGGCCGCACGCGGCAGCGGGTCGGACGCGCTCCTGGGCTCTGGCCGGGGACTCACCGGTGGCGGTGCGCCGCAGGCCGGTGAGCACGGTGTCCGCTGCGCGGCCGCGCGGTGATGGCCGGTGCGCCCGCACCCGCACCCGCACCCGCACCCGCTCGGCGGCCGCTCGGCTGGGCCTGCGCCTGCGGCTGGGAAGACGCAGCGGGGCCTTGTGACGGGGCGGGGTAGGGGGCGGGGCCGGGCGAGCTCGGGGATGGGCGGGGCGGGGCAGGGCGGGCGCGGCTTCCGCGGACCCGACCCACTGCGCCCCCTTGCTTGTTCCTTTTGGCTCCGGCTGGAGGCCCGCGCCCCTCACTGCCTGCCGAGGGGTGGGGTCGGGCGGTGGGCGCTGAAGACCCCTGGAGGCAGAAGTCTGGTCTGGCCAATTTGGCTGGCCGTTCGGTAGTTAAGAAATTTATTCCTAAATGCGGGATTTGCTGAAGCTGCCGGGGACTGACCATCCGTTCTCGGGCCTTAAAACACAACGTTCACTTCTTTTCATCCAGGTCTATCCTAAATCAAGGAGCCTAATCATTTAGTTCCCAAATTGAGGCCTCATGGTTTAATTGCCCCATTTTCTCTATCAGCCCAAACTCGGCCAGGCCTGCTACTAGAGACCTTTTTTTTTTTTTTTAAATTCTTGTGGATACATAGGTGCATGGGACGTTTTGATGTAGGCATGCAGAATAATCACATCAAGGTAAATGGGGTATCCATCAGCTCAAGCATTTGTCCTTCGTGTTACAAACAATCCGGTTATACTCTTGGAGTTGTTTTAAAATGTACAATTAAATTATTTTTGATTACAGTCACCCTGTTGTACTAGCAAATACGATGTCTTATTTTCCCACTAGAGACCCTGAACGCTCACTTGTCTGCCTGACGTCCTCACAAGCTGCGAGGGGCTGAGGCTTGAGGATACAGCAGGACTGGAGGCCAGGCCGCCTCCCTGCTTGGCTCCCAAGTCCTTTTGGGGGAACAGTGACTGGCAGAGGCAGTGTGCATCCTGCTGCCAGCCTTCCCACCCAGGGCCCAGACCCCACCTGCCCTTCTGCCCTTGGAGGGCTGGCCGCTCCCAGACCGCTCTGAGTCCTGCACCTATGGTGCACTGGTGCAATGTTTAGCAACCAGACCTAGTGAGGGGAAGCCTGGGGTGCATTTTTTGCACATGCCCATGGTGTTATTACCCACCAGGGCTGGTTTCAAGTTACCCCCAGCTGAGCAACCAGTCCACAGGAATTCCTGAAACTGTACCAGTCTGCTTGTGGTGTGAGTGGTGCCTGTGCCCTCTGCAGCCAGGGTCGGCGTAATGGGTAACCTGTGATGAGTTCCATTAGAGGAAACGTGGGAAAAGCAGGGATGGATTTACCTTTGTAGAAGCAGAAGCTCACAAAATTTGAGAGACCTTTAAGAAAAATAAAATGCCGGCCGGGCGCGGGGGCTCACGTCTGTGATCCCAGCACAGTGGGAGGCTGAGGCGGGCGGATCACAGGGTCAGGAGATCCAGATCATCCTGGCTGACACGGTGAACCCCTGTCTCTACTAAAAATACAAAAAAAAAAAAAAAAAAAAAAAATTAGCTGGGTGTGGTGGTGTGCACCTGTAATCCCAGCTACTGAGGAGGCTGAGGCAGAAGAATTGCTTGAACTTGGGAGGCAGAGGTTACAGTGAGCTGAGATCGTGCTACTGCACTCCAGCCTGCGTGACAGAGTGTGACTCTGTCTCAAAAAATAAATAAATGAATAAATAAATAAATAAAAAATAGCCAGGTATGGTGGCGCACGCCGGTAATCCCAACACTTTGGGAGGCTGAGGCAAGTGGATCATCTGAGGTCAGGAATTCAGACCAGTCTGCCCAATAGAGTGAAACCCTGTCTCTACTAAAAATACAAAAATTAGCTGGGCATGGTGGTGTGTGCCTGTAATCCTGGCTACTTGGGAGGCTGAGGCAGGAGAATCCCTTGAACCAGGGAGGCAGAGTTTCAGTGAGCTGAGATCACACCATTGCACTCCAGCCTGGACACAGAGAGAGATCCCGTCTCAAAGAAAATAAACACTTTTTTTAAAATTTTGAGACGGAGTCTTGCTCTGTCGCCCAGGCTGGAGTACAGTGGCTTGATCTCGGCTCACTGCAAACTCCGCCTCCCGGGTTCATGCCATTCTCCTGCCTCAGCCTCCCAAGTAGCCGGGACTACAGGTATCCACCACCACGCCCGGGTAATTTTTTGTATTTTTAGTAGAGACAGGGTTTCACCGCATTAACCAGAATGGTCTCGATCTCCTGACCTCGTGATCCGCCTGCCTCGGCCTCCCAAAGTGCTAGGATTACAGGTATGATCCACTACACCTGGCCAAAAATAAATAAATTTTTAAAAATTAAATAAATAAAGTAAAATGCTGAGTACAAAGTTGAGTAAAGGGCGTCAGGAGGGGTCGTGTAGGCAGAGTCCCTAAGTGTCTTTAGATTTATGTTAAATCTGCCTTAAAAACAGAGTAAGGGGCTGGGCACGGTGGCTTGTGCCTGTAATCCTAGCACTTTGGGAGGCCAAGGTGGGTGGACCACCTGAGGTCAGGAGTTCAAGAGCAGCCTGGTCAACACGGCAAAACCCCATCTCTACTAAAAATACAAAAATTAGCCGGGCGTGGTGGCACACATTTGTTTTCCCAGCTACTCAGGAGGCTGAGGCAGGAGAATCACTTGAACCCAGTGGGTGGAGGTTGCTGTGAGCTGAGATCACGCCACTTCACTCCAGCCTGGGTGAAAGGGTGAAACTCCGTCTCGGGGAAAAAAAAAAAGAAAGGCAGAGTAAGGGAGATCATGCCAGAGGGGTGGCCATGGGGGTTTGTGGGGAAGGGAGGGCCAAGTAGAGGAAAGGGCCAGTCCCAGGCCACTGAGGCAGGAGAGCCTGTAGCTCTGCAGGAAGAGCTGAGAACCTGGAGCCCTCTGAGCATCAGGGTGTGCAGGGGGCATGGGGCAGAGAAGGGACTGAGGTCTGGTCAGGTGCAGCTGGGCAGGTCCTCAAAAGGACTTTGGAGTTTTTGTTTTGTTTTGTTTTGTTTTAGACAGAGTCTCACTCTATCACCTAGGTTGAAGTGCAATGTCATGATCTCAGCTCACTGCAACCTCTGCCTCCCAGGTTCAAGCGATTCTCCTGACTCAGCCTCCCGAGTAGCTGAGATTACAGATACCTGCAACCATGCCCGGCTAATGTTTTCATTTTTAGTAGAGACAGGGTTTTACTTTGTTGGCCAGGCTGATCTCAAACTCCTGACCTCGTGATCCAGCTGCTTCAGCCTCCCAAAGTGCTGGGATTACAGGCGTAAGCCACTGCGCCCAGCCCCCAGCACTTTGGTTTTTACTGTTGCTGATGCTCGGAGCTATGTAGCAGCTGCTGGTGTCACTTTACAAGGCCCACCCTGACCCCTCTGTTGAGGACCCACCATGGGAGTGGCAGGCAGACAGAGACTAGTTAAGAGGTGAGCTTAGCTACCTAGCGAGAGATTCTGGAGGCTGGGACCAGGGTCGGGGCAGCAGAGGTGCGGCATGTGCAGGGCTGGGAGCGAAGGCTGGCCAGGGTCCTCAGCTCCCTGGAGGGAGGAACAGCAGGGGTGGGGCTGGGTTTTGGTGGGCTGAGGGGTGAGTGGGAAGTAGGAGACGGAGAGCAGTAGTAGCCACAGCTCTTTGAAAGGCTGGGAACAAATGGAGCTTGGGTGATGTCAGGGATTTGTGGCGAGTGGGATTGTGGATTCCGAAGGCACCACCCAGGTTTGAGGCCTGGTGCTGCTGTGGGCCTGTCTGCACCTCTGTTTCCCTTTCTGTGGTGAGGATTAGCGGCAGCAAAGAATGCAGTGAGGCCATCACCCTGTCACCTTCTGGGGTTATTTGTGACGATGCCAATGATGGTGTGAGATGGGGAGGTGCAGGCAGGACAGAAAGCTGCAGGAATGAGCGGGCAGGACCCAAGGCGGGAGGAAGGCTGTGCTGCAATGCACGCTCTTGGAGACCAAGGGTGGGGAGCTGCCTATGCTCAGCAGCTGGCAGGTGTGAGGGACCAGGAGCAGGGTTGAGAAGGTTGCTGGAGGCATTGAAGGCCAGCCTGGCCAGGGGCGGACCTGAAGACCCAGCACTTGTCATGCAGAGGGTGTCATGGACACAGAGGCTTGGAGATCCTCAGTGAGGGGCCCTTGGTGGGTTTAGTGGGGAGGGTGATTGGCCATTTTCGGACCACGGAGGCCAGGGGAGTGAAGGGCCACCAGAGGACGCTCCTGTCTACCCTGCCAGCCAGGGGCTGGAGTGGGCCAGATGGGGCCGGTGGACTGGACTGGGCTGGCTGGAGTGTTCTGAGAGGTCCAGCCTGGCCAACACCTCCTGGTCAGCTGGGGGTTGAGGCTGCAGCAGGAGAGGAAGCTTCTGAGCCCCAGTAACCAGGCCTCAGCGCCCAGGGCCCAGCTGCTCCCTCCCTCCTTCTGTCTTTCAGTTTCACTTTTGTTTTCCTGCTCCCCGCAGAGTTAGGCTTGCTGAGGGGCAGGCGCAGGAGTCCTGGCTGAGCTCATGGCCTGAGGCTGCCGAGCGGCAGCAGGGAGTGTAAGTACCGTGTGTGGGGCCACCCATAACGGGTGAGTATTGAGGGCACCCCTCGGAGGGGCCTGGGGAGGGGTAGGAGGGGTGGAGTGGGCTGTTTCCCTACCCACCCGATGCCCCATCCCAGGGCTGCAATGGCGGAGGCAGAGGCAGGGGTGGCAGTGGAGGTCCGTGGACTGCCTCCTGCCGTGCCCGACGAGCTGCTCACACTCTACTTTGAAAACCGCCGACGCTCTGGAGGGGGGCCTGTGTTGGGCTGGCAGAGACTGGGCTGCGGGGGCATCCTCACCTTCAGAGAGCCTGCAGGTGAGAGGACTGGCTGAAGGGGCAGCCTGGGTGCCTTGACGTTCTGATGCCTGACGTCCTGCCCTGCCACTGCCCACAGACGCCGAGAGGGTCTTGGCCCAGGCAGATCACGAACTACATGGTGCCCAGCTGAGCCTGCGGCCAGCTCCACCACGAGCCCCTGCACGCCTGCTGCTCCAAGGACTGCCCCCTGGCACCGCACCCCAGCGTCTGGAGCAGCATGTCCAGGCCCTGCTGCGTGCCTCGGGGCTCCCAGTACAGCCCTGCTGTGCCTTGGCCA